TCAAATAAATCATTCTTTGATTTGAATTTGATCAAATCAAATATTCAAATGTCAAATCGAATTGCGGAACCCTACTTTTCACTATTGCTCTGAATCTTGGTCTTCGAAGTCACTTCTTTTTTCACCCTTTTTTCGCCTAAATTTAGAAAAATATACATAAGCTTTTATGTTCCTGTAGCTTTACTACTTATAATTTTTTACCTTTTTATTAGTTGATAATTCGACTCCTTAATTTAATACATCTTGTGAGTATAAATAACTAGTAAACTATTCATTAGATAAGTAAATACAATTTTGTATAAATCCCTTGAGTTTGAAGCCATTAATATTGATAATTTAACCATATCTCATCCTCCTCGTTAGGAATGTCTTCATCATCTGATTTTCGCCATTTTATAGTCGCATTGGTTTGATTTTGTTTAGTGGAGCTTTGAAAAAACTATTGATCTGATTCTAAAATTTTAATGTAGACATATAAACTAGTATGAAAACACACTAATAGAATATCTTTGAAGAGCGATTGTTACCTTTTTTGTGGGTGATGTTGATGCATATTTATTGTCCTTATCTGTATCATCATTAGTAGCTTTTCTCTTGGAATTCTTCCTGTCTGCTATTTCATACATTGACATGGGCAGTCCATTTAAGATACCGCCATTGACAGTTCCAGTAGCAATAGTTCTGGTTAAATTCTCTGTAACGATTGGTTGATAGATATGGACTTGCTTATAAGAACGTTCTATTTCCCAATTTTTTGCTTTACTTTTATCTGGTTTAAGCTCCTAAACGTGAAGACTTTAGAAATTAGTATTATCCTTCAAATAACACGTCTCCGGTATCACTTATTTCTGATCCCACCAGAACATCAGACAAGCTAGCAGGTCATCTATGCCCCGATAGGTCTAGTGCTAGATCGACTAACAGTCTTTTAACATCAAACAAGCTAGCAGTTTTGTGGCTCAACTAACAGTTTTGAATGACAAACCATCTAGCAGATTTTCACCTCGCCACCATTTCTATCTTATTTCCAGTAAAAAGTTTTTTACTTGCCTTCTTATAATTGTCATGGAGTAACTTTGCCTTGTCACGCCTCTTAGATTCTTGCTCAGTACTTATAATAGTTTCAAGCGATTTAATATATATATCTATCTTCTGTTTTAAAGGTTCTTCGTTGCAGTCTTTTAGAAAACCTACAATACACCACTCTTCAGTCTTTCGTTTGAAGTAATCGTGAACCTTTTTGTTAGACATAGGAGATTACACGTCACATAAGCATGATGAAGTTTCTCTCTGATTAGCTCAGATTTAAACAATCAACGCAGATTGTGATTGGTTAAAATATATTGTACACTATTGACTCAAAACTTATTTTAAACCATTATTTTAAATATGGTAAGCAAAAAAAAAAATTTTGGACCATGCTCAATAATGAATTGTGAAAATGAAAATGGTTCCTTTCACTTAATCATGAAACTCGTATATCAGAAATGTTATGAGAAAAATACGTTAGAAATATACCCTTACCTTGAAGTAGGGAAATAACTATGTCACTTACATTATTG